TTCCTTTCTCAGTTTTGGCCTTCATTTTAATCCCGTCATCTTCGCTGAAAGCATTCCGAACATTGGTCTTGTTCAGGTAGTCAAAGGTGAGCTCTGCTGGGATTTCAATGGACGTCTTGTTGAAGTTCTCAGAGTTGTAAATCTTGTTCAAAAGAGATGATCCAAGAGAACTGTTGTCAGTTGAAGAGTAGCTTGATGGTGCCTTATTATGAGAAAAAGTGAGAAATTATAATTTTTTTTTCATGGACATTCTCAGTTTTATTTCATCAGACTATCAGATGTCCCAGATCTCTGATTTTTATTTCTTGTTATGTAGGTGTCGCTTGAATAGCATTTATGTTTCTTTTTTACCTTTTAAATTCTAGTGTGTCACTGCATACAAGAACACTAATATCCTCCAGGATGATTTTCATTAAAAAAATATTCCATTTAGAGAAAAAATTTGCTCAAGCTCCAATAAAAAAATACTTGCTTCATTTCATCAACTCAGTAAGGTTTAAGCTAGTTTTTTCACAGAATTTTTTCACTGAATTTTATTTAAATCTTGCACTGAAGCCAAAACTGAATAATTTGAGAAGCCTAAAAAAGTGCTTTTTGAAAAATATAGCCCTGGGATGCTTTTGTTTTAATTTTCAAACCCCGCCACTTAAAACGGCTGGAATCCAGAAATAATTTGACTGTTTTTGCTTATACAGTATGATTTAATTTTTTTCTTTATTTAATGCTGAAGTCAAGTTTCTTTGAGGCCGAATTGATGGAGTATTCTGCGTATATTTAGGGAATAATGATAAATTTATGCTATTAATGTTTTCAACTTTTCACCTGGAGGTAAAATCATCTCACCTGAAGCATGACCTGCTCCAGAAAATCGTGTCCAGGAGGAAAAGCCATCACGTGTCCAGACAACAAAATATTTCCCTCATCGTCAAATTGTCTGCCGAGTGTGTTCCTGATGAATTTCCCGATAATTGGCTTGACCACGATTTGATCCAGGTCCAGGTAAATGCCGCCATGCGACAGCAGCAACGAGTATCGCGCCAATTCCGCAGCGTGCAAATTTTTCGAATCCGACTCCGGGTCAATTCCGAATGCGGAAAACGGATCCGAGTCGAAGATGATGAAGCGGACATTTGAGTATGTTCGTATGAGGATTCTGAGGGCCTTGCTGAGTTTAATTTTGACAGAGTTGGTGACCAGGTAAATGATGTTTTTGGGATGCAATCTGGCTGCGGATTCAATGGCGCAAAGTTTTCTTTTGGCGAGTGGGGTTTCAGCTGCTGCTGCTGCTGGAGACGAGTCAGTGAAGTCGATGAAGAATATTTGTCCCGTTTTCATTTGCACAGATGTCGCTGGATACAGGAATCTGAAAAATTAATTTTTAACGATATTTTGGGAATTTCGCAGAATTTCAGATGAGCCTGAAATCATGACCCATTAAATTTGCTTCGTTAAATTTTGCGCAGTTTTAAGTTCAACGCCGTTAAAAACTGGAACGAAACTTGATCTTTATTCAATATAAATTTTCAAGGCTGAAACTAATTTAATAAAACGTCACTCGCTTTTTCACCAATATCTTAAAATTTTACCAAGTGGAAATTCAAAGAGAGAAAGGATATAGGAAAGATCGGGAACATTTCTCGCAGAAAAATAATTTTCGAACGTGCTTTTCTGATTTTCGGAAATTTGCATTTACTTTCCAATCTTGAAAATTAATGTAATTTCACTGTGTTCCTATATGAAGTATTAGCAAGTATTGTTTGAATTTAAAAAATGTTATTTGCATCTTTCTTGATTTCAACAAGCGATTGTGCAATTTTTAATGTATTCGGAAACAGAAATTCGGATTTACATTTGGCAATGAGATATTTAAATTGCAACAATATTTATGCATTTTATCGAAAATATTGAGTCTCACCCGCCTAAAATGACGTGGTTCCCGGGAAGAGGTTTTTCTTGTTCGTGTTTCACTTCTGACTCATTAGCGACACGGGTCAGCATTTCATTTCCGGTAAATTTCAAGGAAATTTTGACACTGCAGATTTGTTTATCTTGGTGGAAGAATGAGCTAATCCAGTTCCAGTACAAATCTGCTGAAATCACTAGACAAGCGAATAAAATCAAGGATCGTTCTGCGAATCGATTCCGCATCCTTTCGATGACTGACTTGCGAAAATTTCGCACGACTTTTGAGAATTAAAACGTGCTCGTACAGACGATGATTGCGAAGTTTGATCTAAAAGGCGTGAGAGGATTTCCCACAGCTGGGTGAATATCGAAATTTCTTTTTGATCCGAAGCAAAACATTTTTTAATTCATTGTATTTCATCTCTAGGGTAAGTCGCAATTTTTTTTTCCGTACAGAACAGTTTTTGTTTGTGGAAACCTGTGACGTGACCAAAAGCAGACACAATGAAGCAATTATTTTTATTAAAACTGAACTTTTGTTGCTATATATGCTGGACGATGAAAAAAAACCGCATTTTCGTTGATTTTCAGTTGACTTTCAAATTTACAGAAATATATCGTTACAAAATTATAAGTCCGAGTGCTGGACCTTCGGATTTTAAAGAAATTCTTGCTAATTAAGAAAGCGGAGTTCCCCAAGTGATGGAATTCGACCAAACACGTCCCCTATGAATGTTTATATCAAGTTGAACATTTCATAAGCTTCATAGGTGTCACTCGTAGTTCGCAGTAATCACATTTTCATTATAACTGACGAAGAATTCACAATACTGTAATGTGCATTTGTGTTGAAAGTTAAAACTGAACACAGGACGAAAGATAATAATAAATTGCGTTGGAATAGAATCAAAATTAATACTGTGCATACATTTCATCAACCTATAAATAAAAAACTTTGATTTCAGTTGGTGCAAATATTGTAGTTTTTGACAGAATGCAGAAAGCATCACGGACTTGAACAAAACATTCCTGATGGGGATGTTCTTTTTTCCTATACAGTATAATGTAAATTCTATTTTACACTTTTCATGACTTTTGCTTAGTTGAAAACTGCGTAGTTAAGAAAACCTTTGTTAAAAATCATGGAGGGAATCTGCTGAAAAAAATTTTTCATGAAGCAAAAGGAAGGACGAAATTTGTGGAATGTTTGGGAACATTTGATCTGAAAATTAATACTGCTGTTAGACTATCTGTACAAAAATGTTGTCAACAGGATTTTCTTTGTACAACAATATATTTTTTGTTGCTCCCATAAGGTTATGAGCTAGGGTTGCCTACAATAAATTTAACAAGAAATTTTCTCTGTAACGAACTTCTTCCGGAATATTCATTTTAGACAATTCAATGTCAAAATGATATTGATTTCTGCTAATTTCCGCTTTTAAAAATCTTCGTTGGTCGTGAATAACAGACTTGTTTCGTGAAGCTTTCCCGAATTCGTATCGAACTTTTTCCGATGTTTTTGGTAAAAACTTGCAGGGTATACAGTTATAAATTCACTCAAGAGTATATGTCCGCCATTTTTAAGATAAGTTGTAAGCGATGAAAAATTCCAGTTCATGGAAGTGCTTTTTTATATATTTTTCATCCGAAGAGGAATTTATTTTTAATTTATTCCAGAGAGGAACGGTATGATAAATTAAGGTTAACTGTACGTTATCGTGACAAGAAAAATCCAGTTCCACTGCGAACTGTTATTCCTGTTCCTGCTGAACTTCTGTTTTTAATTTATTTATGCAATTATTCGGGGAGCAGGAAGCGCAGAATATTCACAATTTACAAAGTAACCTCAACCTGTTCTGCTGGCGCTGAAATTAAGTGAGGGCAGACTGCGATTGTTTTTTTTTCAATAACCTGCAAAATAAACTGAGGCTTTCATATCGGAAGGACTTACGAATTTTTGGGTCGATGGATTAATTTTTTACGAATCAACCTTTCTTTTAAAGTTTCCCGTCATTATTTCTGGGTTAATTTTGAAAGGGCCATTTTCCCTCTAAATCGAGAGTATTTTGACCACAGTCAATATTTCGGGACTGTATTTGCTGTTGTTCCCTCTTTGGACTTACATGTATTCTGTGGAATCAGGTAATTTCAGCCGCACACGTGACACTGCTGAAGAATTCGGTATGAATTTTGCACGGTTCATCGAAGTGTTGCCAATTTTCTTTTCTGCTCAATACATATTTGGACTTACATGTATTCTGTGGAATCAGGTAATTTCAGCCGCACACGTGACACTGCTGAAGAATTCGGTATGAATTTTGCACGGTTCATCGAAGTGTTGCCAATTTTCTTTTCTGCTCAATACATATTTGACTCACCGACACGAGGCGCGCGTGAATCCGTTCGACTTCCTTATTGTGAGGTATTGTAGTGAAACGATATTTCGTTTGGAATTTGTAAGAACGCAATTTTTCTTTCGATCTTACGCACGATGTTTTGAATATATATAAAAATCCAAGAATATGAAGTCGATGTAATCCGGTAGTCTTCTAACTTTCCAAAATGTACAAATTTTTAGGACCTTGAGAAAGGAGAAAACTCTATCCTCATTATTTGTTTCGTTTCAGACTTGATATTGAAAACAAAAGATTTATAACTCAAAATGGGCTAAAACTCAAACGTTTTGGTTTAAAAAGTTCTGTTTTGTGAACAAATTTTATGTTTGAGTCCCTCTTCTTCCCTGTAAAAAAAATTTTGGAGCACAAGTGTTCGTTTTCCGGGTCTTTTTAATTACCTCGTAAATTAATGGGGACCACAATTGAACTAGGTCAAAAACGTATATTTCAATCTTGGAACAATTTTTCTTACAAGGCTTTTTCCTCCCCCCCCCCCCTTTAAAATTTAGACTGAACTAATTCAGACTAGTTTTGTGTTTAGCGGGTGTCTTCATTAATTTTGAGAATTAATGGAGACCAGCTTTTGTGTCGAGCTTCTGATCTGTCGTTGCTGACGCATAAAGTCGGTCACATTTTTTAAAAATATTTCTGTCTCTTTTAAAAACAGAATTGGCAACACTGACAACACACATATAAAACAAGTCAGGCAAAGTTGACGCGAATCGAAGACCAAGTTCGAGACGCTCAATAATCCATTCATCGTTCCTTCTTCATTATTGTAGTCAGACCCACGGTCTCATCCCTGAATCTTTCATACTCTGTGTTTCTTTCCTGTGTATATGTGGGCTCTTATTGTTGTTCGATATATACACAACGTCATTTCTCGCCGAACACTACTGTGTGTGTGTGTGCAAAAAAAAAAACGGCATAGTCAAAAGAAGAAATCCGAAGATCGAACATTGTTTTCTCATCGTGAATAACCTCGGCTTGAAAAAACCGTGCGCGCCGCGAATAAAGCGCCTTGAATTACATTTATAACTAAATAAAAAATATATAAATGCTGCGGATTCTGGCGACTGGCGCCTTCTGCCTGCTGTGGTACTGCACCACGCTGGTCCTGTGCCCGGCTCTGGTGGTGCTCGTGGTGTTCAAGGCCGTTTTGTCAGCCCTGGTGCCACTGGTGACGAGCGACAAGTACAGACTCATGGCGAGTGCGGATGCGGCGTGTTGTTTGTCCGGAGTGGATGCGTCCAAGAACCGACCGGTCATCTCGGTCTTGGTGCTCGTCGAAGGACGATTGGACAGCCAGGAGATTCTGAGAAAGTTTCAAAAGGTGTTTGATCAAGTGGACGACGATGATGATGATGATGATGGGGACGATGTGAGGAACAGGAAGAGGAGTTTTGAAAAGTTGAAGCGGTATCCCGTGCGACGGTTCGGCTACTTTTTCTGGCGCCGCTTGAAGCGGTTC